CAACAGAGTGGATACTGGTGGTCACTGCTGCCTGCCAAAAAGAGGAGAAAACTGCTACAAGTGGTTGAAACAGAGTTAAGAGAACTCCCTGTTTCCATTAAGATCACAGGACATCCCCCATATTCATACCACAAGCAATAATAACATATTAATTACACCTAAAGGGAAGCTTTGGCTTTCCTTTGAAATCTGGTAATGTGTAAAGGGGCTCACATTTCCCTGAAAGAAAAAAAAATGCCACAGAAACCTAACAGTGAACAGGCCATTGTGAGAAGACACCACTTTATGAAGTTAACATCATCCATGTCCCAGCTATGGACTTTTCGACCATGGAAAAGGGCTCCTGCTTTTTATGGATTGTACCAAAATAGTGCCCATATGATCTGGACATGAATGGCAAAGTGAGAATACTCACTGAAGGAATACAACTTCTCCTGAGTTTGTTTTATGGTTATTAACATGTCATAGTTATTTGCAAATGTGTTAATTTCCCAAATTTTATAGAACTTGTCTTCAAGTGTATCCTTAATGGCCAATATTTTAGAGGCTGCATTAATTTCTCTCTGTTTCAAAATGATATAAATATAGTAAGGGCCAATTTTGTGCATGGAAGTGGGGATGCAATCTGGGCAGCTAAGCACCTCTTAATCTTCCAATCTGGAGAATTGAATTCAGGCTTTTTCATCTTGGCTGAAGGGAAGCCAGTCTGTGTGCCCTGAATTCTCTCCAGATTTCATGGACTTGAAATCAGCAGTATGTCCCATCAGTAGCCAAAAGAGCTCTGTATCATTCTGCAATATCACTCTACAGCTTCAGTGGGAAGTTTAGGAAGAGTTTTTCACAGCTTCCTAAACTGAGAGTGATTAGAGGTCAGCAGAGCTCATGTATTCTACAAGCAGGCAGAAAAAAGGATTCATTCATTGTCTTCTGTATTACAATTCTGTTTTTCTTGAACAACTGAAGTCCTGTTTTTCCATTTATACATGAGTTGTTCATAGTTTCTGTAAAATAAAACCAAGACTTCCCTATGTTAGAAGAGTAAGGGTCAGACACCTTACAAGCCTATAAAAACATAGAGAAAAACATGGGAAAATAACTTTTTCTGCCGTGGTCAATTAAAAAGAAATAGAATAAATGTATTGGGGGGGGAAAAAAAATAAAAAAGAAAAAAAGGAATAAAAAAACAGTAAAAAGTGTTCAGCCTTGACATAATTAGATCTACCACATCTAGGTCAGCTGAGGATGCAGGATTCACACACCAATTATTTATTCAAAACTTTAGAACAATGCATTTCAAGTGACAGCTCCTGGCTGTGACTCCTCCAAGAACTAGTAGAGCCACCATGCTACATACACACCTCAGAGAGCTCTGGAAAACAGATCCCCACCTCATTTCAAAAACTCCAAAGGCACTGGATATAAAGCAGGGAATGCCATAATCCCATATATTAGTGGCAGTTTAAATCAGCCCTGGGATTTCATTCATTCCTGTGATGCCAGAGAAGAGGACAATCCATGAGGGAAGGGGAAGGGGAAGGGGAAGGGGAAGG